TCCCTAAAAGAATATATTAAAATGAAAAAGATTAGCTTAAAAATTACAATTATATTATGCCAAGGAAACTGAAATCACAATAAAATAAAATGAAAGCAACAATCAAAAATTAAACTATTAACAAGAATGGGAATTAAAAATCATTCACAAGAAATGAAAACTATAAAGAAAAAAATTCCAAGCCAAGTTACTTCACGATGTTTCGATTGTTAGTATCCACAATCGTCTTCGGGTGATAACTGGACTTATTTCTTCGAAATCTGACTATTCATAGGTCAATCGAGTGCTTTCACCTATCTCCTCTTCTTTCTCTTCGCTTCATCAGTTTTAGCGGAAGCTGACCGTTTGGCGAAAGTTGGTTGTGTTCCGCTTGATTAGAGGTTTTCATATGTTGCGTATCTCTTAGCTAGCTTGGCTGAATGCGTTGTTGGACAACATATATGCGGCTTTCTTGAGCTCGGCAATGCAAACTTCCAGTGGCCTCTTAGTTTCACCAATATATGATTCTCCGTATTCGTAGGGTATCCGGTAAATGCAGTTCTTGGAATCGCAGTCCGCGTTTGTTTTCGTGGAGGTGCTACGGTTAGTGTTCCCAGATCTGAAGCAGATTCTGATGTTACACTTGGACCCAATTCTTCTTATCCTTTCCAACAATCCTCTGATGTACTGACGGGAAGTACAAGTACTGGTTGTGGCGGCTTCTCTTCCTTGTGAGGCTCTTGCTCTCTTTCAGCCAAAGTCTGTTCCACCATCACTTTGGAATAACCATTCTGTTGAAGGTCATTTTTGATAATTCCTAGTTCCTTTTCGAGACCTTCATTTGTATTACAGAGCATGAAACCACGATCTACTAGAGTCTCGATGATTCCTCTCTTAGTCGATTGATGGTGATTGGATTCCTGGTTCAAATACTCTTCACCAATACGTCTAAGAATGGCAATTCGTTGTGGACTTCTTCCTCCATTGTGAGAGTAATGGAAGGACTCACGTTGTTGATGTGCTTCAGGAAGGCATCCTTCTGCATTCCCATGGTTCCATATTATGAAGGTGTCGTCCACGTAGGGGAAAGGGGGGTATGACGGGGACGCGAGGTATGACGGGGTCACGCACACATACAAGAAACTAGACTCTTGAATAGAAAGCAATAAGCCAATAGGAAGCCATCAGTGCGATCAACCGTCAGTGCGACAGAAACAGTGAGTGGGAGTGCACGCGTTTTCTGTTGACAAACGAACATCACGTTGAGTGTCTTCTCGATCTAATTTTACGCAGGTAAAAACGTCTTTACTGTAAGGTAATTATGACTACCCAATTTATGACTTTTCTCGTATATGGTTGTTAGGGTTGTATACTTTGTTGTGGTATAGTTGGATAAATGTTCAGTTATTATTTTTCTTTTGAGAAATATTTTTTTACTAATTCAGCCTTTGGGGCAACACGGGGCATTGGGTATGGGGTAAGATGGGGTATAG